TCTCTTTCTGTTCTCACACTTCTTCGAATATCAATATAATCTTCGAATATAACTTTTTCTCCAACTCTGTGGGTAGACACATCTTTTTTTCTTGTCCTGAACTCTTGAACTCTCACAGCTTCTCAGAGGCTCCTTAAGACTCCTTCTTAGGACATCGAAAAAAAAACACTCATTTTCGAGTTTAAGCCATAAAAAACATTTTAAAAGCTTGTAGTAAAGGATATTTTTCCATTTAATTATAAAAAGTCGTTTTATGCAAGGTTTATACAGAGATGTACTGAAAAAAATGCCAAAACTGGATGCTTTACTAAAATTAATACCAAAACACTCTTAATCCAGTAAAAATAGAACATTTATTAACAGAACAAATGTTTTTGACCATGTACAATGGCCATCTGCCTATTTTTCATCCAGTTAATAAATGTTCTATTTTTACTGGATTTAAGGTTTTTTGGTATTAATTTCAAAGATATTCTGATTAATCATTTGATAGTCATTAATCATGCTAATCTGCTTATCCACCAATTTAATAATTTGGGCAAATTATTAAATTAGTGGATAAGCTTGATTAATTGTCGAGTGATGATTAATTATCTAATAATCATTTTATTGGAAATGCATTATTACATTTTAAATTTAAAATTATTAAATTAAAGTTAAAAAATAAGTCATGATTAAAGAAGCAGTGACTTTATTAACAATGATACTTCAGAATTATCATACAGACACACTTAATTCCATTTATCACATCTGATTGAGTAATTTTCAGTGCTAGCTGCCTGTTCTGAAAAAATTTTTTTAAACAATAGATTGTTACTACATTGTCACTTATTTCATATTGTTGACTACATTTTACTCAAATGTCATATATGGAAGTAATTATGACAAAATCAATTAATAATGGAAAAACACAATTGCCAGAAATATTAAAGTTGTTATGCCTATTTGCTCAGAATGGCAACATTCTGAGCAGATAGGCACATAGTATAGCATAAAACTGCCAAGAAAGTATAAAATCTGGTGTTCCATATTAAAGAAGATAAAACATTATTTTGAATCATTATCGAGAAACTTAGACAGAAATAGTTTGCTGTGATAATTTTGATTATACTAATAAGTACTGCAAATTATCATAGTACAATATTCAGATGAAATTGTGCTGTGTTTGGCTTGACTTCTCAATGGGTAAGATTCATTGAATCAGACAGTTTGCAATCTGTAACAGCTAGCTGTTGCAGATAGATTAGGTTAGCTATATTGGTTACATAAGATTAGGAAGCAACCTGTTGGAAGCATTAAGGGAACAGAGGAAGAGAATGATAGCACTCAAATATTTTTAATTTAAGAATACATGAATGTAGTTGTTATTTATGTGCCAGTTACATCAGTTTTAAATCAATTATATCATGCAGTTCTCCTTAGGATCTTACATATTAAACATGCAGGCCCACTAAAACACAATGCAGACAGGATGTCTAACATAGCAAAAAAAGGACCCTAATTTCATTTATTATGTGAATATAAAAATATACTAATTCCTTTTTTTTTAGTAATAGTACAATTATGCATGCCTGTTAACATTCTGAATAAACTATTGAGGATTGTGGTATTTATTGATGATTAGTCGCAGTAGAAAAAAATAGCAATCAAAGCTTTTCTCTCCTTTGTGTAAAAATCAAATCTGACTACTAAAATTAATAGTACTAACCCAACTTGATTGAGGACAATTTATGTAATTTATTTTTCAATATTTTCATACAACTTTAAAACCAGAAATAAATAATAAAATAAATATTTATACATTTAATTGTCAGACTTTAAGCAAAACTATTATTATAAAAGGTTAAAATTGAAAAAAGATATATTGAAAACTAAAATTTAAAAAATGAAACTTTTTAAGTTAATTTTTAAAATATCTGATGACAGTTAATGATTAATCATATAATTACTTCATTATACTGGATGTTCCATGTAAAATCTTTCCCACTTAATGGAAATGATACAAATGAATTTAGGCAAAGGATGCTTATTAGAAAATTTTATTTTAACATCATTTACATATACAGAAATTGCTGAAACTGATGTCCTTGTACTTGTACATTTATGCACCTTGGTTTATGCTTAATTAATCATTTTCAGACTGACCTAAAATATGTGTATAAAATACTATGTTGTAGCTAAACTATAAATACTGGTGTTGACAGCTTTAATGGTTTTGATAATACTTTCCTTCAATTTGCATATAGTTTAGGGATTAATCTCATACACTCTCCCTTTTAAATATCACTATAAAATTTTTATCACTAATGTGTCATCATCATGGTCAGGCCAATTATAAGTGGTCCTGACCAAGATGATGAAACGTTAACATTACAATCTCAATGAATTGTTCAAAATTAATTAGCTAACTTTACAATTGTTCCATCCTTAGTTTTGTATTATAACTTTGATGATAGAGCAATAGTGGTTTGAAAATATTCAAACCAATTATTATTAAAAATAAAAGTTTTGCTGATTTTTATCAGCATTGAATATTTTTAATGTTGATAAATTAATTGAGAATAAAAAACTATATGTAATTAAAATAATATTTTTGTGATTTTTTTTAATCTAAATTTAACAGATAATATCTATATACAAATAAATGAATAACAATTTACTTATTTTAAAAGATACAGTATTTTTTCAGGATGAAAATAGTGATCATCATGTAATTATACCTGAATTACAACATGCTAATTGGGAATGTAAGTTTAATAACTAACTATGATTGCTGTTTACTTATTGTTTAAATAAATTGTGTAAATAATAATAATTTAAATTTTGCATGCTGATAAATGATTACAATAAATAAAATAGTTATCAATTTAATCACTAATAAATGTTTAAAAAATGCATGCATAGGTCATTCAACTGATTGCTATGAATCTTGTTAATTACATTCACATACTTCTAACTTAGATAATGTTGTACATCCCACACCAAAATATCTATAGGATTTCTTTAAATCAATTAATTTCTATCTACATTTGAGTAATTTTTTTTTTAACTTGATATATTCTGTAATTTTATTGACTCTGTTGATTTGATAACAAATAGAACAATGGTGCTCCTTAGTAACAGTAATGTTTTGAGTACTGTATTCATTGAAAAAGACTTTTAATGTACATAGACTTATTTATTTTTAATATGTATGAGGCAATTGCTGATTTTGTTAATATTGTTGCATTTGTTGTCCAAGGTTGTCAAAAGGCGATTCCAGATCTTTTGGAAGAGGACGCATTCATTCAATCTATGGAGGGAATTGTTTATTTTGGAGGGATAGTGGTGACATTTGTCTTGCCTGGCCAGGTTCCATTTATGCAGGAAGTGATTGGTGAGGAGAGAGATGGTCCGAGCACTGTTGATTAGAATGGTGGTGTATCTGTCTAGGTCTTCATAAATGGGGTCGGAGGTTTTTCCAGCTATGGGTAAGCTTCCCTTTTATGATAGGAAATTCAAAACTAATTCATTTTGTCTTTCATGTCCTGTTTGTTGATGGAGAGGAAATCTTCTGGGGAGATGATGTTTGTTTTGATGGTGGGTGAAGGGTTGCTCTTAGCAAGCTTATCTGCTTTTTTGTTGATAGAGATGCCTACATACCCTGGGGTCCATATGAAGAAAATGCTGGGGATAGTGAAAATGAAAATGGTTACAGGGAATAGTAGCAAGGATGTTGGTAATAATGGAATGAGAAAATTTGTTCAGAGAGTTCATGCTTTTCAAGATGGACTTAGAGTCTCTGCAAATAATGGTCTGTTTGTTGATTTTGATCACATGGGAGATAGCTTGAAGGATAGCATAGTCCTCGGCCATGAAGATGCTCATGTTGGGATGGAGGATGTAATGAACGGAGGTGTTATTCATTATGTTGATATAGGCCAAGGTGACAGACTCATTATTTTTGGAGCCATCTGTATCAATAAAAACATCAAATTTCTGTTGTTGAATGCATTCATTGAAATTAGCTTGTAGAACCTCTTGGGGTGGGTGGGTTGTTAGAAAGCTAGATCATTCAAGCAGATGAGAGGTTTCTTGGTATCGTCAGAGCAGCTGTTACACTGAATGCAACTATTAGGGAAAATACTGTGTTGATGAATCTAGGAGCAAGCCATTTGGATTAGAGGGATTTTATATCAGAGAGATGCCTTTGTCCGTTATAAATAATAATGACCCGATTCTTAGTGAGATATTACACTGGATGAAGTGTAATATCTCACTATCAGGTCAATATTATTTTTCTTAGAGTATGTGCTGTATTGTTTAATGATGTGACGGTGAAACCGGTTGGTGATGTTGGGTTTGTTTGCAATACAGAGTGTGATGGTGATGATGGAGGAGTGGAGGAAGTTAAGACAAAGTTTGAGGTATTAGTTCTGGATGGTCTGTAAAGTGTAGATTTGATGTTTCATGGGAGGCCACCTGCATGTTTAGGGTTAAACCACACTTTGTTATGAGCTAATTTCATTCATCTATGTAAAATCATACATTCCATTGTTTTACTAATGTGTGAGGTCTTATAAAGACACTAATAATACAACTCTAAAACCTTTACGATACAGCCAAATTTATTATCCCAATTCAAACGTTTTCGGACATCTTTAATGCCCTTTTTCAAGAACAAAGTACCATTGTACTAACTGCAATCGAATACTGGCTAATTTGCATAAACGATAACTGCGTTTTGGAACGCGCATTTAAAAAATTCTAACTAACTGCAATCGAATACTGGCTAATTTGTATAAACGATAACTGCATTTTGGAACGCGTATTTACAAAATTCTTATTGCGCAGACTCGTGCAATTTGTTTACCGTTAAAACTACATGCCATAAAATAAAATACAAACCACTACGATAATCAACCATATCTATATGCACATAACATATTTAAACGTGCTAACTATAATCAGACACTCGTGACCAATAAATGCCATCTTGCTGAACTTATTACTTCGCTCCATTATATTAGGCTTGATCTCCACGCTTCCGATATTCTACTTGCTTCTCTAAAGTTAATTGCTGTTCCTTCTTGATTACTTTTACAAATATGCCACGCTTCTGCGTATTTTAGATGCCGTTTTCCATGAATTTTTTGTATTAACTTTGCCTTATCCCACTCAGCTGTGACGTCTGTAGGGTCTGCTAGGATGTATGTCGCTAGCGCTGTGGCTGGCTGCTCATTCCTTATGTTTCTTTTATGCTCTATAATCCTTTCTTTGAGCGATCTTCTTGTAGCCCCAATATAAAATAGCTCTTTTTGCCGTCTTGTATCTGTTATTGGAATTCTGTATACCCCAGGAAGAAGGTTACCGTCTATCTCGTCTTTGTCTGTTCTTAACATTTGATACACTGTTGAATTCCTTTTGTAAATTATTTTCTTGTTCGTTGCTGCTCCGATTCTTTTATATATATTATTTAACTGAGCTCTGTATTCTAATAAAGTAAACTCTTCTCTATTAACTCTTACGTTCCTCTCTTTGCTTTCTGTTGTAGTTTTGTTGGATGTTTTGTTGGTTAGAGGCTTAATGTTAACCCCAAATTGCCTTGCTATATTTTTGATGTAATGCAGCTCTTCATTTCTGTCTTGCATTTTGCTACAGTGCGTTTGAGCTCTTGCTATGAGCGCCCTAAATGCTGCGAGTTTATATGCTGCTGGGTCGTGTGAATTCCAGGGTATAAATAATGGGTTGTATGTAGGTTTTCTGTAAATCTTTGTGATTATATCTCCTCTATCTAATTGTATTGTTAAATCCAGCAAATGCACCGTTTTGTCGTTCTCTTGTTCCAGCTCAATTTCTAGGCCGAATTTGTTGTCGTTGATGTCTTTAATAAATTGCTGTAATTTTGGTTTTTCCTTCCATACGATAAAAACATCGTCTACATACCTTGCATATATCACGATTTGCATTTCATACTTTGGTATGATGGTGTTCTCTAATGTTCTCAAAACCATTTCGCATAACGTACCTGCTATTGGGCTTCCCATAGCCACACCTTTCTGCTGCGCATAAGTGACCCCTTTAAAGTTAAATATCGAAGAATATGTGGCCAGATGCGTCAGCTCTAGTATCTGTTTCCTCTTTTTTTCTGCGTTATTGATTCTGCTTAATAAGAAATCCCTTAAGTGGCAAAAGCAAGGCTCTAGTTTTATGGACGGATATAGTGCTTTAAAATCCAATACTGTCATATATCTTCCTTCTTGTTTTTTCATATTTTCCATTTTATGGAGCAGCTCTAGCGGATTTTTTATGCTGTATTTGTGCGTGGGTAAATGTGTGTTAACAAAGCTTTTGACTGATCTTTCTAGTAGTATTGTAGGCGAATATCCTTTATCTACGACCGGCCTAATATTTTTTCCGGTTTTATGCGTCTTGGCAAATCCGAATAGCCTCGGCATCGATGGGGAGGTGACTACTATTTTCGTCATACCCAGCTCTTTTGCAAGTGGTGTTTTAGCGAATTGCTTGATTCTTGTATGCAGCCTCTCCAACGCACGTGGGTGTGCAACAATACATTTTGTTTCCTTTATGTATTTTAGCAACAAATCATCGTATGTATTTCTTTCCATAATTACTATGTCTTTAGATTTGTCGGCTCTTGTAAGTACGATGTTATTCCTTTTAAGCCATTCTTTGCTTTTTCTGATATTACTCCATATTTGGTTGCTAACACATTTCTTATTTAGTTGTTTGATTTTAAGCCCAATCTCCCATCGAAACATTTCTTTCTTAATCTCACTGAGCCCTTCTATTGCTTGCTCAACGTCCGGCACGATCTTTTCGTGTGTGAGTAAGGGTTGCGGGACGAATTTCGGGCCAAACTTGCAAGCTTCCTTAAGATATGTTGGAGGTACAATGCCATCCCAACATATAATTGCTGTGTTGTTTTAAAAGGATTAAAAAGGATTAAAAAGGATTAAAAAGCATCAGGGAGATAAAGTAAGACCGCAACTCAACACAGCAGGGGCATAATAAAGGCATGATTCAAAAATATTCAAATTCATTTGGGTCAAAATAATTTAAATACTAAACACAAATACTACAAAAAATACTACATATTTAATAAATTAAATTGATGCATTTTGTATTTAAAATAAATGAACTATAACAAAATACAAAAATATTTTTAAAAACTCAATGAATATATAATAAATTTTCTTTCATTTAAATAAAAAAACTAAAGTAAATTTAAAATGCAGGAGTCAGCGTCAACATGTTTTCTGACTCCAACTCCACAGCCCTGTGTTGTATTCTTTGATGTTAAGTTGACTATTGATTGGCAAACGAATGGTTAGAGGAGCATCGTTGTTGGGTATATTGTGGTGGTTTGCAAAAGCATTAGCTTGGTCTATGACCTCCACTAACAAATAGCCATTGTTAGAGATTAGACAGAGGTTTGAGATGGTGGAAGTGTGTTGACAAGTTCTTTGTAGTAATTTTCTAGATGTTATTCTTGAACTTGGGATTGGACTCTTATTTTGACCAAAATAGGTGTTTTTGTTCTTTGATAATATGTTGTAAGTTTGCTGTGGCCTTGAATTTAATCCAGTTTTCTTTCTTTATGTTATGGTTAAATTTGATCTTGCTTTGTGTTTTTGGCTAGGGATTGTTGATATATTGTATTCCACCAAGGAGGGTTATTTTTGTTATAGCTATGATGATGGTGGGAGTTCTTATGATATAATGTAGTGAGTTGCTGTTGTAATTGATCATAGGACCAATCTGTGTTGGAAGCCCACTTGTTAAGATCTTTCATGAATTGCATAAAATCCAGTGTCATGGTAAGACTATCCACTGGGTTTGTAAAGTATTTGGTATGGACTTCCAATATAATCCTTCTGTGTTTGCTTCTGTGATCAATATTGAGAGGAGTCCAGTTGAAAACAGTGGTGATATTGCTTGTTGCTAAAGTGAGGTCAATGGCTGTATTTGTACCCATGTTGTTATAATGTGTGAGACTTGCAGAGGGCCAGGGGTTAATCTCTCCTGACCACTTACACTGCACAGGCTGGTAAAACCCAGTCTCTGAGTTGTCGGATGGCTAGGAGGTCAAAAAGTGAGTGGGGAGTGCGTCAGTAAGCCGGCAGGCGTCCTTTCAAAGACAGGAATCAGGTTTAACAAATAAACAAAGCATTTATTGAGGAGCTAAATCTACGTTACAGAAGGCAATAATTAATTCAAAGGTTAACTGCAGTTATAATAGACTATGTAATGGGCGACTATTCTCGTTTAGGTCGCTTGCCTAACTTTAGGGAGAGAGAGCGCTTTTACAAGTCTTAAAATATCCTTTAAGTACCTCTCAAAATAATGGAGAGTTGATATGGCGATGATCCTCTGTGTCTTCTCCAATGGGATCCAATTCCTTTGCATGGAGATTGACTGGCACAAGTACAAAAAATAACTTCCATTTGCGGACGTGCGCTGAGCTTCCGGGGGCTCGAGCTTTTATTCGATTGTTGTGGGTGGGGGCACGTGATTGTCATATGTTGACATTAACGGTGCATTCTTAACACCTATGTGTCAACTTTTCCAGCTAATTGTGATAACAAACGGTGACCTCCAATATAATTCTCACCAGGAGCATTTTTCTATCGGAGTTGTTTACAAAAATTTTTTTTCTGACAAGTGCGTTAAATTCGCGGATTTCACAAATGTGTGCATTGCCATCGTTGAGCAGAATCATGTTAGATCTTTGGATGATTTCAGATAACAATTTTCTTCTGGTGTCTGATTTTGGGTTGCCCCAGAGAATGTGATATGGGTTGATGTCACTTGTAATTATAGTGTTGGTAGGTGTATTGAGTTTGAACAGTAGTTCAAGGTCTTTGTCATTAATAAGACGGAGACAATTGGGTGTGAAGACGTCCAACACTTGCCACTCTGGTTGACCTCAACCAGATGCTTCTTGGATGGTAATGAGTTTTTACCAGAATGGACTTATGGATGTAGTGGCCAAACCCCACCTGTGGCATCATCCCTGAATGTAGAAGGCATTGTATCAGTGGAAGTTCATACAGAGTTGGGCTGGAAGCCATGTTTCTTGTAAGAGGATGATGTCATATGGATTCCAAGTATGTTCTGCTTTTAGTTGATCGTATTTGTTGCATATGCTGTTAATGTTCCATTGGAGGAGTTTCATGTTGTGGTTTGAAGCATTGATTATGAGTTGTTTTTAGTTTGGTTTTTTTCTGGGTCCCACTGGTTTTTGTCACGGATGTCAGTATTTTCTTTGCATTTAGGCCAGGTGGAAATTTGAGTGTTGTAATTTGACATGGTGGGTTCTGGTTTGTCCTTTGTAATCTCTTCTGGCTGTTGATCAGGATTTGGATTGGTATGGGGAGATTGTTGTTGGTCTACTGTAATGGTGTGGTGATCAGGAGGTTTTAAAGTTTGTATTATGTCTTGCATGTATGCCAACATGTTCTCAATGGTTTGGTTTTGCATCTTTATGGAGTTTTGGATTTCATGTAGAAGTTGTAGAATTTCGGAGTCTTGGGCTTGGATAAATTGTTGATCCTTTCTTGGTAGGGAAATTTGTTTATTAGACTGGAAGTTGTCTTGGATGATCTCAATGTATGATAAAAATAAACAAACACTTTTCTCTATTCCAGCACACTTTTAATGTGTTGAAAAACATCAAGATCAATACAAGCGGTGAAACACCTGGAAAAAGTTGAAATACACAAGGCACATACGACCGCGCAGTGCATCAACCACAGAGATGCCGAAAGTTTATCAACAGCCTGGAAGTCCTTTTATGATAACATAGATTAACTATTGCAACCGCATAGGTGGCGTTATTAATTGTTTTTATAATATTAATTGATATATAATGTTGTTATTTTTAATTACTTAGGTTTAATTTATACGTTTTATAAGTACGCGCATGCGCTTTAGCGTTAAATTGTAAATAAGCGATGTGAAATTTTTTGTATTTTTTTGAATACTTTGTTCGTTATATAGTTCGAATTTTGAACTGATGATGATCGATTAAAACGATCGAAAACGTTTTTCAACGCATTAAAAGTGTGCTGGAATAGAGAAAGGTGTTTGTTTATTTTTATTTAATATTTCCAGTAAGCATTTAGTTATTTACTCAATGTATGATGTTTGGTTGCTGGGGCTTTGTGGGCTTCTGTGGAAGAGCAGTTGTGTTCCCATTGATATTGGACAATATCCCAGGCAGATTTATAAAATGAGCATTTTAGAGATGTGTAGGAATGTGGGTCCCACAGTTGATGCATTTAGGTTCTATGGTGGGGCAGGATGATTCTTCGTGGGAATCTCCTCATTTTTTTCATCTAAAAAACCCTTTGTGATAGGGTTTTGTATGCCTGAAGCAATAACAATTGTGGCAAAGTCTTGAGCATTCTTGATATATCTCAGTGCAGTAGGATGTTAAGAAAAGCCTGATATGCTTTGGGATGGTATCATTTGCCATGTTATTTTTTTAGTTGTGGTAGCAGAATGTGTTTCATCAACAGTTCTTTTAAATCTTTGTATGTTGATTGGAAAGAAGTCATCTTCATGAAGTTGCATAAAAGTCTTCCCAGGATGCATCCCTTCAGCAGGTTGCTCATGTTGTGTTGCCATAACCAAATAAACAAAAATTTTTCTTATGAGCGATTACAGTGCCGAGCTGCAACTTTTCATCATAATGTTCTCAATTCTTTTGGTGATGTATTGCCCCTGTGCATCATACTGTTCCTGTTAGCAATAGAGTCATGTCAGTCACTTATCTAGGTCCATTCAGGAGAAAATTTTGAATCAAAGTAATGTGACTTTTGTTTCAAACTGGAAGTTGGTATATAGTTAAGCTGGGCCTCCTGCCCCTAAGCTTTCCACATCTGGCCTCAACTTTCATTTATTTAACTCCTTTCTCAAGATTAAGGAAGGAGAGACAGACAGGGGATGACAGTTGGAATTTATAGGTTTACAATTTTTGAAAATTGCGGCCCAATAATTTTTCCATAAATGCAATATTTTTTAACATACTTCCCATATAGTTTATACAATCAATCTGTTGCAAAATATAAACATTTTATCATCACATAAAAGCAATTATTCATGCATTTTTAGAAGACTTTTATTTAAAATAAGTCATATGAAGACTTTTGGACATTAAGGTTAGCAACTTTGATCATGTGTGGGGCCATCACAAGCTATCCAACACAGATCACTTTTCCAAACATTATTAGTAGACCAGTATTAATTAGTAGTGGTTAACCACTTCTCTTCCAGGAGGTGTTCAACAACTACTTTTGGTTGAATTACTTTGACCCCCTTCTGCAACAGTCCCTTCTTTCTATTGGACCAACAGTATAGTAGCATTTGAATAGGAAAATTACATAATATAAAGTTACTAGCCTACACAAAATGTTTTAAGTGGTTTTCGAGGGTGCAAGTTTAAATATTTGGTCCTTTTTTTACAAAATTTGATTTGTTGGCAGATTACCATTTAATATTTGGCTGTGAATGGTACATTTCTTAGAGTTTACATTAGGACAAAAATATGATATGTTAAAAACTTTAACATATCATATTTTCAATTGGTGTCTACGAGCCCAATGAAATTGTGCCATTTCATACTATCTGAGTATTGCGATAAAGATGACAATGGTAAGCTGAAATAACCAAACTCTTTATATGGTTTTAATGTTTGTTATGTTATAGTATTTGATTTATATAACTACAAAGGGTTTATCACACAGAGTGCCCAATCTAACACATTTTAAAAATTCTTTATTTTTCTACTGTACACAATTTAAAGACTTTTAAAAATGTGTTAGATTGGGCACTCTGTGTGATAAAACTCTTATGTGAGATAACCTTTGTAAATATAAATCAAATACTATAATATAATATAGTTATTTCATCATATTACATAAAACTGATATTTTTTATACCAATACAGTGTCAAAAAGTTTGAGAACTAAGCAGATTGTAAATGAATACATTTATTAAGCAAATTATTATGCACATCTGTTTTCAAAGTAATGTCATTGACTATGATGCAACACTGCTAGCATTGACACAACTGCTAGAAACACTCCTGGAAAACATTTTCTGGAATCACGTGTAAGACCTGCTGCAATGTGATGATGGCCTCAGCAGATGATTGGAATCATTGTCCATGAATTTGTTGTTTCATATAGCCAAAAGAGGAAACAATTGCATGGTGCCAAGTTGAATGAGTATGTAGGCTGTGGCAAGAGTGTTGTGTGTCTTTTTACCAGCTCAGTTTGCACCAGAAGGGAGAGATGTTTTAGGAGAAATCAATTGTTGTTCTGCTATAGTTCAAGTTGCTTGTGACAAATTGATTCACACTGACAATACAAAATTTGTGCAATTTATTTTGTTTGTTTGTCAGGTAATATTGATTGTGAATTAATTTCTTNCTAAGAGACTTCATTCCATTTGAGGTAACAGCGATTCCTTTTCCCTTACCCACAGGTCATTGCTAGAAAAATTAACTTATTGAATATTTTTCATTTAAGACATAGTACAGTGCTGTCTCTAAACAATATTATATGCCTTTTGTATACATTCCATCCTGTTTAATTCGAACATTTATTATATATATTTCAAGACATACTACTGTATATACTATGTTGCAATATATTAAAATGCTTTCTTACATTAAATTAAAACTCAATAATTTAAATTTTTTAAATTTACCTGGGTTAGTAGTAACATCTGATTTTCCAACGCTAATACCTAATTTTTTGCTAGAAGCTGCAAACTCTTCCCAAGTAGTTTCTAGTGATTTGCAAGCAGGACACCAAGGTGCGTAACTAAAAAAAAAATTATATTTTTAAAATATAAAATAATAATATTTAAAAAAAAAACAATTAATTAGCTTGATATTGACTAGCCTAAATAGGTATACTAATAGGATAAAAAAATTTTTTATATTCAAAACTTTCAAATTCAATATTCTTTAGATCCATTTCCAGCCTATTTATGAAACTTTTACAATAAAAAACAAAAAAAAAATTGTTTAAAAAAAGCTAAAGATAAAAGGAGACAAGCAGACCTTAAAAAATTCCAGCATAATTATTTAATTAGACGAACTTCGGCCTCCTTAACAGGCCACTTTCAGGTCATCATGATAAAAGATATGAAAATGCCAATTTAAAAATGTTTACTTCTGTATCATTACATTTTGATTAAAATTTCCATTTATAAAAACATTTTCTGTAATTCCCTGCAGATAAAATCTGTAAGGTCATTATTTATCTACAAAAATTTTTTTTTTTTTTTTTTTTATAAAATATGAAATGAAATCACCTAAATTATAATTTTTAATTTTTTTTCAAATCTTACTCTAGGATTATGCTTACACATACTGAATAAAATTAATTAAGCTAAATATTTTTGTTTGCTTTCAAAGTAAGAATTTATGTAAAAAATTTTCAATACAGACTGCTGTAATATTTTTTAAATATATTTAGAATTTTAAATATCAAAATTCTATCTCTACCAGAATAAAATGTAGTCTGCATTTTAACAAAATTTTTGATTATTAATCTATTCTTTACTGATCCAAAAGAATGTGCTTCTAGATTATTTTATACGTAATAAAATAATCTAGAAGCACATTGAATGGATTTTTTATTAAAAACATTTAAAACTAAAATATTAGTTTTATGGAAAAAAATTTTGTAAGCTGTTATTAATTTAAAATTTAGTCTTTAATAAGTGTTCCAATTTCCAAATATTAATAATTAAAATGATAAATTTAGTACAGGTATGTCTGACAGTCCTGTCAGACATTACCTGTACTAAAAAGAACCTTGTCAATAACAAACCCAAAAATAATAAAATAACAATAAACATATACAGGGGGGTGCAAAAGTAGGTATATAGTTGTTATTATGGGAAAAAAGCATATAGGAAGAAAAAACATTTATTTTTATGTACAAATTAAAATACAAATAAGGAATATAAACTAATAAAAGATAATATAATAGATAATAAAAGATGTAATAATGAACACCAAACATTTGTATTTCTCAGATTCTCAACTGTATACCTGCTTTTGCACCCCCTTGTATATTAAAATTCATCAATTTTATAATAAATTTTAATATAGCAAAATTCTTAATTATTAAACAATATTATCTTTATTTACAAATTTGCCAATTTAATACCTTATTGCTTCAAATTTAAGCTGCACATTTTATTCTAATTTTTAAGATGTAAAATTAGGGTGCAGCATAAATTCAAAGAGAATATTTTAATTTCTTATTTCTGCTGATCTCCCATTCCCCAACAATTGGATCTTGGCTTTATGCTCTACTCATGTGCATAGTATTATGATCATTGATAACAGTTTATTCAGTGGTTCTCCATTTGCACTTTTCTGATTTAATCCAGTTTGATAGCAGCTGTGTAGAATCAAATTTTAAATTTTTTTATTATCCATATTCACTAACAATGGAAAAAATGGATTACATATGATGCTGAATTGAAAAGAAAAGTTATATTTTGCACCAAAGAAATTGGAAATTGTGCAGCTGGTAAAAGATTTATGCTTGACAAAAAGAATGTATGTTATTGGAGAGCCACAAAAGAAAAGTTATTTCACTGTAAAAAAAGACAAAATCATTCTCGGGGCCTAAAAACAGAAGATGCCCTGCAATTGGCACAAATCACATATATAAAATAATTTTTATTTATTACTATTTTTTCTAATTTTAAACTTCTACTGCGGCTTATATTCAAAGTAATACAGTATTATAGTTTTTGTATCTAGTATAAATCACAAAACATTATGGATATGAGAGCTTATAATACAGTCAAGTTTTGTTGTTATGTTATGATTTATGCAAAGTCCTTGTTAACACAAAGTAGGTTTGTGGTTTCATGGATGAAAGAGGATAGGCATTTCAACATTAATAAGTTCAATTAATACAGATTTCATTAATACNAAAACAAATAAAAAATTCTGTTATGGATATTTTAATTTTAATTTATTTTTCTGAAATTAAATTTTTTATGATTAAGTATATAATTTGAGTTTCTAATATAGATTAAAAAAGAAAAAAGGGAGAATATTTCAATCCATTTCCTCACTACAGAAAAATAGTACAAAGGTAATTATAAAACTCTGTTTTTGTTTAATATAATAATTAAACTTAATCTTATTTGACAGAGGCAGGTGAATTACACAGAGCAGTTTTCCCACAGATAGTGTTTACATTGTTTATGATAGCAATAAATACGTTAATTTAAAATATGTTTTAATTATTATAGAGTTCGTGTGTACAATCCACCTGATCCACCAGGTTATTTTGATATTTGTGTCTGGCCAATGTATTTGAAAAATAAACAAGAAATGGAAGAAAAAGTTAATGATATTGGTAATTTTTTTTTTAATCAAAGTATCATAACATTATATTGTAATCTTTTACCAAAGAAAAGCATTTTGAGTTTATATTTAATTTTAATAGGTGGATTCTGAAAAGAATCAGAACAGGATCTTAATATTTGTGAAGGTGTATCCAAATGTTATCACACCAGATAACTTGTATAGTGACATTTTTATTTCATCCATATCTGATTCTCCTATTACAGCACTTTATCACACTGTTAAAAAAGTATTTGCTCCTGTATTGTTAAGAAATGAACGTTGGAGTGAAATATTTAATCCAAAACTACAGAACTTATTATGTGATTTAGAAGCTGGTCTTGGTACAGTTGTTAGACAAACAGATCCCAATGTTAAAGTACATCAAAACAAGTCTTTATCTGGTAAATATATAAAAGTAGTAAAATTGTATTTTTAAATATATCAATAATAATATTATATTGATAATTAATATAAATTATTAACAAGAATGATGAATTAATTGTTATTGAATGATTATGTATTAAGTTATGAATATATATTGTTGCTTTATATTGATTACATTAAAGATGGAATCATTAAATATCAATTAGTTAACAAAAATAACAATAAATAATTAAATAGTTTAGTCAAAATGGATTTATTAAATCTATGGAATTTATTAATGTAATACAAAAAATTTTATCTAGAGGAGAAAAAGAAAATTTTATTAGTTGATTATTGATTGATTAGTACTAGTTAATTAATTAACATATTAACATATAATATGTATATACTATAAATATGAATTTACATGATTTACTTGATTTTATAAATTTTTTTTTCCAGAAATTCAAACACCATTAGATGAATTTAAATATTGGGCAGATAAATCAATTAATGGAAAAAGTGATTCTGAAAAACAAAGGGCTAGTTATTTTTATGAAATCTTTAATCAATTAGAAAATGGTTTTTCTAATTTAAACTCATTATCATTAGTTGAATGTAAAGATTTCTTTGATATAGTTTTTACTGTGTTAGATGATATCTGGAAACAAGAAGAATATTCTCCTCCATATCCTCAGGACAGAATGGAACATTTATTAGATATTATTGGTTAGTACTAAACTAACAAATTGAAATAACCACTCACCACACTGAAATTATAAAGACACACACTGAACCAATTACAGTGTGATAATAAAATATGGTTAAGAACCTGATGCAGAGCCCAGAAGGGGTTCAAAAACATTTGTTTTTGTTGTTTTATTATGACACCATAATTGGTTCAGAGTGCATCATAACAAATTAAAATTTTAAACTATTACAATTAAATATGAATAAATATAAATTATTCAAATATTAATTCATATTTAATTTTAATGGCTTTTAATTAGCTGAATAATTAAATTTTCTACCTTCTGCTATTAAATATATTTTTACTATTTATAATTATCCATAATATATATATATATAGATATTTGAAGAATCAAGATAAGTTAAATAATGAAATATATATTGAATAAATTTATCAATAATTCAGTATATCTAAAACTAGAAATGATTCATCTAACTAATTAATTGAAGGAATGTATGTATATCTCATAAATGTATATAGATTTTTTATGACATTTATGAGTTATTTTTTATTTAAGTAGCTGAATAATTAATTTTCTACTTTGATGCAATTATCCATTGAAAGATTTTAGTTATAATAATTTTACTAATGGTAATTTTAATGTTAATTTATTTTACTAATAGTAATTAAGTAATAATTCTTTGAACATTAAGTTTATCTTTAATTTTATTCTTTATTAATTTTTATTTTAGGTAATGCAGTTGCTATTCATATTCAGAAGAAGCTTAGTCATTTAGGATTATGGGAGCAGTCATTTTCTGTTATTGAAGATTATCTTCATCAAGCAATTGATTTATGTGAAACTTGGCAAGATATTTGTCAAAAATTAACTACAATTTTTTGGCCAAATTTTAGAAATCATCCATGGAAGAAAAGTGCATTTATTCCAAAATACATTGTAAAATTTTCAGAAAGATTACTTCAGGTAAAAATGTATTTTTTATCATATAATTATGAAAAGTAAATTTTATCTATAAAAATACCTGCTATTTGAAATTATTTAAATAAGTTTTGAATTTCATAATGATTTCTTTTTAGAAAAGTTTTCATAAGAATTAATACAATATATAGTTAATGTTAAAAAACTACAATATAACTCAGCCAGCATAGATATGCCAAGAGAGATGGCAAAATGTCAATGATAGGCATTTCTTGTCTTGTCTTGGACTCATCTTGGAAGGTATTAGGTAGAAAAGAAGCTTTGCTAAAGTGCTCATTAGTTGCTAGAAGTGAATTTAGTATGAGATTTACTTTGTCTTGTCATATACTTTTTAAGGCTTCTTTGTTCTACCATGGAGGTACATCTCATAACAGATACTTTCACAGTGGAACAAAAAACATTCAATTCAGCAAAAGGAAAGCAAAAAATGGTGATTTTATTATTCCTGTTGCTCATTCCACAAACTGTTTGAATCAAATTTCTAGAGTATCATTGTTGAAAATAAAAAAGAATTGCCAAAAAGCAGGCAATGACAATGAGCAAAATTTTACTTCAGCATCCAAAGAAAGACATTCTGGAAACAATGGCATTAGATAGCTTTGGTTGTGATGAGGCTTTCTTTTTGATGTAGAAACCATGGATTGTCCATGGTTTCTACATCAAAAAGAAAGCCTCATCAATTCCTAAATTACTGCCCTACTTAAAAGAAAAGATCAGTTTGTCTTGGAAGAAAAACACATGCCACATAAAGTACTTTTCTTCTTCTGAAAACAGTCCTTTACACATAAATATTTCCTTCCATATCTGAAAAAAACCCCTATTTTACAAATAGACTGGTTTAGTTTATTTATGTCTACTCATATTGATAATCTTGGCTGAGTTGGCTGGACAATGCATAAGAATTTGTATAGTCTGTATAACAAAAATTGAACATCTTTATTTGAATATCACTTTGGACTTGCTTATGTAACTTCAGTTATCTTTTCAAACTAAACAAACTTATGTTCTCTATGTGAACATTACATAACATTTAAGTTATCTGTAACTATCTACAACAGGTTTTGATTTAATAATTTAGAAAAAAATTCACAAAACCAAAAGCAAATTACCTCTTATAGTAAAAGCATGAGAAATTACTTTATTTTTCAGTTTGTTGGCATTTTTATTAAGAAAATTTGCATACTGTTAATATTTAATATTTTCTCATTAGCTTTATTTCACCTTTCATTTGTTTATGTTTAAATATACAACTTGATGTTATTGTTAAGCCTATTCACAATGTGCTTTGTTGTGTTTAAAAAATGTTGAATGTAATCACTAATTATTAGACAGAATATCTGTTTATAGCAATTAGAATCTGCATTATATAGTTTGATGATACAGTCATTTGTTGTAATAATGATAAAATATATACCTGTGCCATAGGCATAAGCAGTGGCATTATTGTAAGTGAATATATGATGACAGTATGAACAAACAGAAAAATGTTGGTCTATATGGATTTGTAAGGTCATATAATCTCAGTCCCAGTCAGATATTGAAATGAAAGGATAATTTTTAAACTTGATTTTTGGAATGAAAGGGATCATGACTGGACAATGAGAGTGGAAAAAGGTCCTATGTTTGGTGAGAGTATTCTGGATAAAGGATGATTCATTAATCCATTTAAAATTTATCAATCCTATTTATTGAGAGAGAGGTTTTTTTTACAATAACAAGAACAATCTCTTTATAAATCATTTATCAAACTTACTTTTTGAATGTCCTTGGTTTCCTCGGTTAATAACGATAAAAAAATATATATATATTTTAACTTAAAAATTAAATGTTTTCATTTATTTTGTTTTAATGTTCAATATATGATGCTTATTTTATCCTTTGTAATGTTTTTTAGATTTTAGATCTGAGAGCTGTACATTATCAATTAACAAAACTTCTTAGTCTTGAAGAACAAAATGAATTACAAATGAATAAAGTTTTTTTAGTGTTTAAAGATTTGAATCCTCTTCAGTATAATTCATACACAGATCAAATATGGAAGTCAGCCATAAAAAGATATGAAGATGAACTTTTTCCTGCTGAAAAAAGAGTTGCTAATAAACTTAGAATGCAATTACAAACAACTCAAAATAATGTCTTGCAGGTAATCTATTAATTATAGTTAATAAATATAATAATGGGAAATAAATCAATCTTAATGTACAGAAATAAAAATACTTTTATTTTGATGAATCATTTAATTATAAAAATACATGTATTTTATTTATTATAGAATTTTTTAAATTTGAAACATAGAAATTAAATTATTACATTTTCTCAAATTTATTGTTCATTACATGATACAAAATATATCTTTAATGAAAACCAAAACAAATTATGATTTTTACACTAAATTTACATTTTAAAAAGTTTTTCAATTTTGTATATCACAATTAATTTTAATTTGATATATAATTTTAAAAAAGTTNACATTGTTTAATTTATATTAATATGTATCACTTAAGAAAATTTTAATAAAGAGATTTAACTTAATTATGAAAATATAGTAGCATGTTTTTTTTTTTTTAATTTTTGGAACCTAACCCTCCTTTTCATACTAGTTCTTTGATTCGCATAACACGGCAATTTTTTGGAATGTAACTACCGTGTTATACGGGGTTACCTGTAATGTGGTACTAGATGTAGACATTAGGCACAATCTATTATTATTAACTAAACACCAACAATATGCCGAAAATCTATCGGGCTAGTATTAGGCTAATTACTAAATGAATTACGTAATCAATTTGGCACTAGAGCTAGGCATTAGGCCTACCTCTAGTGCCATTGATTACGTAATTCCTACCTTTGTTTATATTATTATTAATTAACTAAATATATTTACATGAAAATAGCAGCTGAATTCTATTCAAGATTGTTATATTTTTATGAAATATTTTAGTTTATTCCAAAATAGATTTAATTTCTCATTAATATTTGTAGTTTTCAATTATTACCATTTCTTTAATTTCTTATTATAATACTAAATTCTATACAAAAACTGAATAGGAGTAGTCAATAGAATATACACTTATTCATTTTGTAGATCAGGGGTAAGCAAAATGAATATAATGCCCAAAATATTAATAAATATATAAATTTTCCAATTTAAGAAAGTATGCAGCAAAAATTCTATCTTTCTACAACTTAGTAAAAAACAAGAAATTGACTAACAGATTCAAAACTAATTTAAAACTAGCAGTGACTAATATTCAACCAAATATTTTGGATATATGTTCACATTAGTGTCAGAAGTCAAATCAAGTATTAATACACTTATGTTAATTTATAATCATATATGAATTATGATTTATCTGCAATTCTTTTCTTTCTTCTCTTGTGTGCAGTCTGTGTCAGTTCAAAAGTCATAAATGCACCCTTACATAGAAAAAGGTTGCCCATCCCTGTTGTAGATAAACATACATCTTTATACATATACACATATATAATTCTTGTATATTGTACATGTAATATGTATGTATGTGTAAATTATTTCTATGCAATTATTTCAATTTATATTTCAAATATGCTACTTGAATTTCAGTTAAATCTTGATACCATTTATATTATCAAAGTGATATATATATATCAGTTAGACAACAGACATCTTATAATCATTTATCGTCTTTTATTATCCAGTGTAGGTATATGCTTCTTCTCTTCCTGTCTTTTTTGTCAATTGTTGCTATTGTTTCTCAAGTTTCCTGTTTAGGTCAGTTTGCAATCTTCCCATTCTTCATCTCTCCTATTCTCTGACATCTATTCTATTATTCTTTTCATACACCTGTTATATTTCATTTTACCAACAAATTCTACCCATCTCTCTTTGTTTTCTCATATTTTCTTCATTATATCTTTTACCATTGTCTTCTCTCTTATCAATTCATTTCCTTTCCTGTCTCTTATGACTTCTTACACTGCTCTTTCATTCTCCCTTACATTACTAATAGTTTTTGTTCTTGTTCATTTAGATTCCTTCTGCAATTGCTTTCTTTTGCACTTAATTAATTTTACTAAGAGACTTCATTCCATTTGAGGTAACAGCGATTCCTTTTCCCTTACCCACAGGTCATTGCTAGAAAAATTAACTTATTGAATATTTTTCATTTAAGACATAGTACAGTGCTGTCTCTAAACAATATTATATGCCTTTTGTATACATTCCATCCTGTTTAATTCGAACATTTATTATATATATTTCAAGACATACTACTGTATATACTATGTTGCAATATATTAAAATGCTTTCTTACATTAAATTAAAACTCAATAATTTAAATTTTTTAAATTTACCTGGGTTAGTAGTAACATCTGATTTTCCAACGCTAATACCTAATTTTTTGCTAGAAGCTGCAAACTCTTCCCAAGTAGTTTCTAGTGATTTGCAAGCAGGACACCAAGGTGCGTAACTAAAAAAAAAATTATATTTTTAAAATATAAAATAATAATATTTAAAAAAAAAACAATTAATTAGCTTGATATTGACTAGCCTAAATAGGTATACTAATAGGATAAAAAAATTTTTTATATTCAAAACTTTCAAATTCAATATTCTTTAGATCCATTTCCAGCCTATTTATGAAACTTTTACAATAAAAAACAAAAAAAAAATTGTTTAAAAAAAGCTAAAGATAAAAGGAGACAAGCAGACCTTAAAAAATTCCAGCATAATTATTTAATTAGACGAACTTCGGCCTCCTTAACAGGCCACTTTCAGGTCATCATGATAAAAGATATGAAAATGCCAATTTAAAAATGTTTACTTCTGTATCATTACATTTTGATTAAAATTTCCATTTATAAAAACATTTTCTGTAATTCCCTGCAGATAAAATCTGTAAGGTCATTATTTATCTACAAAAATTTTTTTTTTTTTTTTTTTTATAAAATATGAAATGAAATCACCTAAATTATAATTTTTAATTTTTTTTCAAATCTTACTCTAGGATTATGCTTACACATACTGAATAAAATTAATTAAGCTAAATATTTTTGTTTGCTTTCAAAGTAAGAATTTATGTAAAAAATTTTCAATACAGACTGCTGTAATATTTTTTAAATATATTTAGAATTTTAAATATCAAAATTCTATCTCTACCAGAATAAAATGTAGTCTGCATTTTAACAAAATTTTTGATTATTAATCTATTCTTTACTGATCCAAAAGAATGTGCTTCTAGATTATTTTATACGTAATAAAATAATCTAGAAGCACATTGAATGGATTTTTTATTAAAAACATTTAAAACTAAAATATTAGTTTTATGGAAAAAAATTTTGTAAGCTGTTATTAATTTAAAATTTAGTCTTTAATAAGTGTTCCAATTTCCAAATATTAATAATTAAAATGATAAATTTAGTACAGGTATGTCTGACAGTCCTGTCAGACATTACCTGTACTAAAAAGAACCTTGTCAATAACAAACCCAAAAATAATAAAATAACAATAAACATATACAGGGGGGTGCAAAAGTAGGTATATAGTTGTTATTATGGGAAAAAAGCATATAGGAAGAAAAAACATTTATTTTTATGTACAAATTAAAATACAAATAAGGAATATAAACTAATAAAAGATAATATAATAGATAATAAAAGATGTAATAATGAACACCAAACATTTGTATTTCTCAGATTCTCAACTGTATACCTGCTTTTGCACCCCCTTGTATATTAAAATTCATCAATTTTATAATAAATTTTAATATAGCAAAATTCTTAATTATTAAACAATATTATCTTTATTTACAAATTTGCCAATTTAATACCTTATTGCTTCAAATTTAAGCTGCACATTTTATTCTAATTTTTAAGATGTAAAATTAGGGTGCAGCATAAATTCAAAGAGAATATTTTAATTTCTTATTTCTGCTGATCTCCCATTCCCCAACAATTGGATCTTGGCTTTATGCTCTACTCATGTGCATAGTATTATGATCATTGATAACAGTTTATTCAGTGGTTCTCCATTTGCACTTTTCTGATTTAATCCAGTTTGATAGCAGCTGTGTAGAATCAAATTTTAAATTTTTTTATTATCCATATTCACTAACAATGGAAAAAATGGATTACATATGATGCTGAATTGAAAAGAAAAGTTATATTTTGCACCAAAGAAATTGGAAATTGTGCAGCTGGTAAAAGATTTATGCTTGACAAAAAGAATGTATGTTATTGGAGAGCCACAAAAGAAAAGTTATTTCACTGTAAAAAAAGACAAAATCATTCTCGGGGCCTAAAAACAGAAGATGCCCTGCAATTGGCACAAATCACATATATAAAATAATTTTTATTTATTACTATTTTTTCTAATTTTAAACTTCTACTGCGGCTTATATTCAAAGTAATACAGTATTATAGTTTTTGTATCTAGTATAAATCACAAAACATTATGGATATGAGAGCTTATAATACAGTCAAGTTTTGTTGTTATGTTATGATTTATGCAAAGTCCTTGTTAACACAAAGTAGGTTTGTGGTTTCATGGATGAAAGAGGATAGGCATTTCAACATTAATAAGTTCAATTAATACAGATTTCATTAATACAAAGTGTCAATTTTTAAATTACTTCAACTTTGTATTAACAGGAGTTTAACTCTGTATATAAATTTAAAATATGTTTTAATTATTATAGAGTTCGTGTGTACAATCCACCTGATCCACCAGGTTATTTTGATATTTGTGTCTGGCCAATGTATTTGAAAAATAAACAAGAAATGGAAGAAAAAGTTAATGATATTGGTAATTTTTTTTTTAATCAAAGTATCATAACATTATATTGTAATCTTTTACCAAAGAAAAGCATTTTGAGTTTATATTTAATTTTAATAGAAAATTTTTTGATCTTTAGTGTATCTGAATGGAAGTGAAGATAAAAATGAATTATTTAAGAAAGTGCTTAAGGAATTAAATTAACATTTAATTCCATAATTAATTTTTTAAGTTAGTTAGATGAATTTATAAATAAATTGGAATAGATGAGTACAAATGTATATAGTAATTTGATAAAAAATTTTATATAATTCACTGTAATCTTAAACTTTTCAAGAAATAATAATAATATATCTATAGGTTTGCAATTTTAGCAGCTATTTTTTCATAAAAAAAACTACTAAATATATTTGATATTTTATTAATTTATGATGAAAGATTTAAACACCAGATATGGAAAGCTTAATGGCAGGAGCACCGATTAACTATTTACAAAATTCCAGTTTGCATCAGAAGTCATATTATTTCTATTTAAAAATTTTCCCCTGAAAGGAGTTAGATAGATGACTGGCATGACAGTATTGCTAGCAGGAAAATATGATGTACAGATGCAAGACACTACTAATTTGAGATGGACAGCATATATTTTAAATTAAATAAACTAAAAATATGATTAAAACTTGCAGCCTGGCATTGTGTTGATGTCACAATAAATTATTGCTCATTATAGTTTTGATTTCTCATTTATGGAAAAGGTTTCTTTTTCATACAAAGATTTTTTAAGTTTACAGCCTTGATTATTAATAGAAATAAAATATGACAAATTGTATTTGTAAATACTGTACAGTTTATCTTTTTAGTAAATCTTTCAGGTATCTGAGTCTTAATAGTAAGATAAATTTTACTAACTTTGTTAAAGCATTTTATTATTATTGTAATAATATTTCCTCATAATTGACCTAAGTTATGCATTGAAGGAAATATTTTCGATGGCAAAATATTTTTAAATGCAGAAATATTTAGCTTGAAGCATTGATATAATTTTTTTTTTTGTCATTTGATTATTTGCTTTCATCCAATATAAAATATATACTGAATAAGTAATTTAATTTTTATTGCATAATTACATTTTGTTAATAAATGAAATCCTTATTCAAAATTCTGTTTGCATAGTTAATATCACAAAGTGTTTAAAAAGTTTTAATATCAAAAAGCAATAATTAGTTAATAATACTTCATTTTATATTAACATTAATGTTAAACAATGTATTTTAAGTTTTACTTACTAAAATATAATAATCTCGGCAATAGTTATTTTTTATATTGCTGTTATTCAAGTGACTAATACTATCTCAGGAATTAGTAAACAAGATGCTTTTATCATATATTTTTGTATTAATTATCAGTACATTGATAATTTTAGAAAAAAATGAGAGAGAAAGGAATGATAGTTTTTCTATATAATCACTATTGGTATTCAAACTGACTGAAACCCGATGAAAAAGTTTATGATTCCAAATTAATTCAGTATATTCACAATTTTTTAAATGAAATTTTAATGATGGTATGATATGTTGATAGGTATATTTACAAAATTTAACTTATAATTTGACTATCATCTGTAGGATTAGATTAAAAAGGTTGCCAAGACATCATAAGTTTCAACTTGATAATTTTTTTTATAAATTTTCTAAAAGAGACAATACATAAAATGTATCTCAAACTTCATCCTTTCATGCACATTAGGAAGTTTCAGGATACATTTTATGTATTATCTCTTTTGATAATTTTTTTTTAAATAAATTTTATAAGTTTAATGTGTAGGATTAATTCATTTTGAAGTATTGTAATTTACAACAGCAGTCAGTCATATTTATTAGGAATTTTTGTAGAAGAAAGCATTTCACTCATTCAATTTTTTAAAAATATTTTGAGATTTTTTTGTAAAGAACTTTTTAATAATAGTTACAGGAATTCCAAGTGTTTTGCTTTTATTAAATAGTAATTTGTTAACTATTGAATGCATTCCTAGATTTTTTTGTATTGAAATATTTGTTAAGATAGTCATAATAAAATATTAGTTTGAATTATTATCTGTATATTATATTATATAATTATTTAAAATGAATGTTTTTCTTTTTTTATAATTTTAATATTTAAAATTGTTAAAATGTTACAATATGATAATTGTTACAATATTAATACTATGATGATTAAATAATAATGTTTTTTTATAAAAGATACTTTGTTAATAATAATTTATATTTTATATGACCAAATTATTCTAAATGATGAATTTTTTCAATTTGAAAAAATCTGTTTGTTTTTACAATTTCCAGAATGTACATTTTTAAAGTATAAGGAAAAAAATGCATTGTGATATTGGTTTACATAGGATGTATTGAAAAATATAGATTACTTTAGTAATAAATGGATTACAATAATTATTAATGAAGATGTTACTAAATTAAATAAAATGTGTGAGTATAAATGCACAGAAAGAAAAACATATTTTTTTAATAAAAGATAATTGAAAAATTGTTTTTTTTTTATGAATTTGACATTATTACAGTTTTTACATACATAAATATGATTATATATTTTAAAATTAATTTTATATTTAAATGGAATATGGTTTTATTGTTCTATGTAGCATTCTAATGTATATTTAACTATTCCATCTTCTAACCAATCTTTAAATATTTTTTGGTCCACTTCTAACAGTTAAATTTTACTTTTAAAACTCTGTACTATATTTATAATAATGTACATATTTATGTATTTACATTATATTAAATAATTAAATACAGTATTATTAAATGGGTTTCTTTTTGTAATTATTCATGTGGCCTGTAATAAAAAAATTTACGAATAATACTACTTTATTTTAATAATTTATTTAAATATTGCACAATTATAATCTTGTATATTTATTAAAATTTCTTCAAAATTCAGAAACACTATGAAAAACCAATAAAAAGAATTTTCAAAGATAATGTTTACAGAAAACAGTTATTGTGAAGAAAATAAATACAGTGAATTATAAGAATTTATATAAAATAGCTCGGAGAAACTTTCACAAGAAAAATCAGACTCATTTGGATATTGAAAATTTGTCACATTTGTTTTATCTGTATTAAATTGTTACTCTGTTTATGCTAACAGTAAAATCTATTCAGAGAAATAAGAAATCCTGCAAAGTTGAGGTAATTCTGGATTCTTTTATAAATGCAACTCTTGTTCGTCTTATTTCCA